TTATATATTGGATTTTAAACCTTTAGTGGAGATGGTTACTAAATTTATCCTGATGTTTTTGTGTCTCCACCTGTATTTTCTTGATAAATGCCCCTTATACAAACGTTTTAAATCTTGATGAAGTTCAATTTAATTTTTTTATTAAATAATAATTTTATTAGGGGCTCATCCAATTCATCACAATCTGTACATACGTCATTTGTGTCCAGCACATTAGTACATACGTTGAATTCATCATTCTCACAACACCCGCTTTCCACCCGAGCCCTTGGTGTCAGCTCATTTCCCCCCCTCCCTCCCTGCTCCCCCCTCCCCCTGAACGCTTGATAATTTATAAATTATTATTATTTTATCATATCTCACTTCATCCGACGTCTCCCTCACCCACTTCTCCGCTGCCCGTCCCCCAGGGAGGAAGCCACATGTAGACCTTGCCATCTGTTCCCCCTTTCTCCCTCTCCTTCCCTCCACCCTCCTGCTATCGTCACTCTCTCCACTGGTCCTGGGGGTTCATCTGTCCTGGGTTCCCTGTGTTTCCAGTTCTTTTTTGTGTGCCAGTATACATCCTCTGGTCCAGCCGGATATGTAACGTAGAATTGGGATCATGGTAGTGGGGGGGAGGAAGCATTTAAGAACTAGAGGAAAACTGAATATTTCATCGTTACTACATTGCACTCTGATTTGCTCCTCTCCTCCCCGCAGCTCTTCTGCAAGGGGATGTCCAGTTTCTCCCGGATGGGCCCTGGGTCCCCACTCTGTACTCCCCCTCATTCACAATGTTATGATTTTGGGGGGGGGGTGTCTTTGATGCCTGGTACCTGACCCCTTCGCCACCTTGTCATCAATTTAATTTTTGTGGTTGCTACTTGTCCTGTTGATGTTGTGTCCACAAATGACAATTTCCCACTCTGTCTTCTAAGAGATTGATGATTTTAGGAGTTCTGTGTAGCAGCTCATCAATCCTCTTTTCAAACATGGTGTGAAGTAAAGGTCTGACTTAGAGAATAATTTCCAAACAAAGGGATGGGATGCCTACCTATCAGCCCTGAACCATACAACACCCCAGTGATCATCCCCTTAGATTCCTCACAGTTAACTGCTCAGCATCCCTTCCCGATGCGAGGGTGCTCCTCCCCATTTACCCACCAGACCGACCAACAGAAATTATCAGTGCCTCCTCAGAAATGTAGATGTTCCTGTGGAGGGCCTGTTAATTTATCACAGCCTTGCCTCGATGTTGTATAGCATCAAGTGAGCGGTCCTCTCCCTTTCCTTGAAGGAAATGTAAGGTCTCATCTTTTGAGGTGGTTCTTATAAAGTGCACATAACTGGGGTGTTATATGTTTCAGGGCCAATAGGGAGACATCTTACCCCACTGCTTGGGAATTGGTTTCTAAGATTACAAAATTCTTATAGGACAGCTTTTGCTTACTCTTTAAGAAGGAATGAGAAGGCGTGTAGTTGTGATGGGCGGAAAATAAAATTGTTCAGCCTAACTTTCTTGGACTTTTTTATTTAATCGCCAACACAATTTTTTAAGGACTTTTCTGTAATTAGCCCCTTTGATTGTCCTTCAAGAAACTCTGTTAAGATTACCTGCTTTAGATACTGAACAAGGACCATGACCTAAGGTGGCCCCTCTTCCTTGAATTGAACTGTCCCTGCATATCCTACTGAGCCAGTTAGTTTCGTCCCGTTATTAAATTCCTTAGCTTTACTAAGTTTGATTAATTTAATTCTGTTGGTTTCATTGGCATAGGAGTCTCTTTGAAGTTTATAGATTTAAAAGCCCCTGTTCTGATTTAACTTTGCTTCTGGGAAGCACCCTCACAAGACTAAGATGAGTGTATTGCTGAGAGAACTTGTCTGCAGCCATCCACAGAGCGCAGACACCTGTCTAAACAGGGGTCACATGGACTTATTTGTGCATTTGCCTGAACTGGAATCCCCAGTAGCAAGATTTTTGTGGCTTACCATCTTAGTGTCTTTCTTGTTAGCTTGTTTAAAAAAAAATTATTAGGGGCTTTGAATCAACACACATAATTGTGTCATGGGAGGTGTGTGAACATGACCATCTTCTCTGAAACAACTCCTGCCCCCTTCTGTCAGTGTGCCCCAGATTGTACCCCTGCTGTAGTGCAGTGTGAGGCCCTGGATGCACTTACTTGTTTCCTCTCACTTGCTTTACCCACTTTGCTGATCTGTTTTAAGTGGAGTTTATGGGCTTCACTGGGATAATTAAGGAATAGTCTATAATAGAAAATTGTTCTTGATCTTCATAATCACAAATATGAAAGTGTCTCATGCTCACACGGTGATTTGTATGAGGAAAGACATTTTTGACAGGGCTGGCGCAACCCCAGCTCAAATCACACGGAAATGCTATAGCGGCCCTGCTCTTCAGGGTCTTGTGTTGTCCACCCCTGGGAGGCCTTAGTCATTCCGACTCACGGCAAGTGGATGTATGTCAGAGTAGAACAGTACTCTGTAGGATTTTGAGTGGCTGAATGTGTGTGGTCCCTGGGCCACCTCTACATGGATGTCAACACCAGCCTTTCCTTTAGCAGCCAAATTCAGACCTCTCTTCGTTTAGAAAATATTTTCATTTTTAATTATTTGATTTTTATAAGAGAATTAAATAATGTTTTCATTTTTTTAAAAATGCCAGCCAACCGATGGAGGCAGAAGGCAGAGCCATAAGATGTGGATTTACCACTATTCTCTGTTGAGCTCCAGTCAGCTGGTTTATTTGTAGAGAACGTCCTCTTTAGCAGGCGGCCCTCCTGACTTGCCCCGCCCCTCCACCTCAAATGGTAGCCTGCCTTTTCTGTTCCACTAATTCCAGGGGCAAATAGTCTCCTCTCCAACACTTTTGCACCATCACCATCACCCCACCCCATCCAACCCCCACCAGCCTCACCCCCTTTAAAAATAAAATGCATCCATTTCCTTAGATCAGACATCCTGGAAAGAAGCAGCCTTTCCCTGAAACGTTGCTTCCTGATAATAGTGCTTACTCCAAGGATTTGGCTCTAAGACGTGCCATGCAAGCATTTTTGTCACATGGGGCCAGTAAACCAAAGCCAACACCTTTTTAACCCTCATGGGTCCTGCTGGGATGAAAAGCCAAATCCCTAACCTGCCCTTTGGACAGGACAGGCTCTTCTGGCCTCTGGAAGGAGGGAGATACTGGCTTGTCTTGTTCTCCTGTGCCCAATATCCTCTGAGGCGTAATTTGCTGCCATGTTTTAATCTGTTATTGCCTTATTTGTCAGGTGCAAAGTGGTTCTTCCGTGCATGGTGGTAGGAGCTGTTTATCTCTAGGGCCCCGGAATTGTAAAATCTTCACAGTATCCCACTCTCTCATCTGTGCCTCGTCCATGTTTGTGTGTTTGTTTTTCATGATGGCGGCACAGCTTCTCATAATGTGTGGCATTTGGTGTTGCTGACTTTTGAGAAAGCAATAAACAACTAACCATCCTGTTCAGGTGCGTGCAGGCAGTATTTCTGGGAAATTCTCGAATTACTCAGAAGGGTGAGTTATGCCCGTTTATTTATATGAAGGTGTACACATTATGAGATAGCTCTGGAGACAAATCCCGGGGGAATTTCCCCCTCCTCCACCCCCCTTTAAATGGGAACCGTTACATGGTTTCTCTGCCTTTGGGCCAAGGTCAAGTATAAAATGGGGTGCTTTGATTGTTGACGAAAAGCGGGGGTGGAAAAGCAGGATCGTTCTTTTGGTGGGGTGGGCCCCTTGGTGGTTGTGTGGCATTGCTCTGGGTGGTGCTGGAATGCCGTTGGATTTGCTTCCTCTGCCAAAATCCTGCCTGAGGTGAGCTGGGACCCGTGGCCCGGTGAGTTGAGTGCTTGACAGGGATCTTATCTTTGGGCTTCTTAATACATTTGGGAATGTATTTTAATGTCTTTAATTTTTTAGTTGCAGTGAATCGAAAGGAGCAGGAACAGAAAAAATATGGGGTTGAAACCTTGCTGGAAATGTAATCTCTCACTTTGGGGCGGAGGGCAGAGGACACTAACTTCAAGTCTGACCTGTTCTACTGATGCTGCCCCTAAGTCATGACTGAACTGGCCAGAACTTTCTTGAAGGCCTGCCAAATGTATAAAGACACACTTAGGAACAGATCATGTTTGTAACCCTGGGACTGCCTATGGTGTACGTGCAATATATATAGTCTGTATGCACATGACATTGGGGGCAAAGTTCGGAAGGTTTCTTATAAATATGTAAGTCCCTGTGGGACTGAGTTACTGTGTTCACAGGCTAAGGACCATAACCTCTGGTATGGGGAGGCGGTGGGAATAATCTAGGCCAATTGGTATAGCGACATAATTCATGAAGAGCATTTCTGTAGCAAAATTGGGCTGAGTTAGAGGCAGCAGAGATTGGAGCTGCAAGGACTGCTTAGTTTGGCATTTTCAAATTGAGTGATTTTTTTTTTTTTAAAGGAAAAGGTGAACTGAGTATCAGGATGGCCCTTATGAAAGAAGTTGAGTATGTAGTAGTGACCGTAAGAGATTAATTCATAGAAAACCGTGTAAATGCAGAGTCTGACTTGAACTTTGTTTATGATGTGAGGAAGCTTCAAAAGGCTCATTGAAAGATCCCATTATTATTTCATTCTATTTCTTCATGAATTTTCTGAAGCATGTGATTAACCTGGTGGTGTCAAACATGGGAGTTTCTGAAGAACACAGCTTGGCTTTACATGTTTAGTTTGTGCACATGTACATACCTCTACAGGTGCATGCATATGCGCACATACATATACCCCTTTTGGTCACATATTTCACATCATAGCTGTTTAACCAAATTTACCATACTCTGGCTTATGAGAGTGTGAGAGAGAACTTTAATTAGAACGAAGTCCCTAGGGTGTTCTCTCCCCATTGTGATAATGGTTTTATTGCTATACATATGTCTGTCCTTTGATCTTAGTTTAATTTATTTTTAATGAATTACTCTTTTTTTTTTGCAGGCCCAGGCTGCAAGCACAAAGGAAGTTTGCTCAATCTCAGCCAAATAGTCCCAGCACAACGCCAGTAAAGATAGTGGAGCCATTGCTACCCCCTCCAGCTACTCAAATTTCTGACCTCTCTAAAAGGAAGCCTAAGACAGAAGATTTTCTTACTTTTCTCTGCCTTCGAGGTAAGAGCATGTTACTGGCCAGTTTGGGGAGGACCCCAACCTTTACTGAAAGAGAAACAGCACCCGGGATTTGGATTTTCATATTTGTTTCTGCTGGGCTCAGCTCTCCAGTCCCTAACCTGGTGTGAAAAATTGCAGGGAGTGGTGGTCTTTAAATTGCCTATACGTTTGAGTCTTTGTAGTTCTCCTTCCTCATTCTCTTCGTTGACTTCCTATTTACTCAACTCGTAGGTGATACAGAGAGCGTGCTTGGTAAATAGAGCTGTGATTAATTTTATTTTTTTAAAGTTTATAATGTCTTGCTTTTCCCTACAGATCTCCACACTCATCCACCTCACCATCCCAAAATGTAGTTTTGGTTTATTTTGTTTTGTCCTATAATCTCTTTTGAAGGGAATGTTTAACACATAACATGCCAAACTTATTTGGCCTGCTGCTCCTTTTCAGGGGGCAAAACAACAACAAACCCTGTGCCCTTTTTTTTTTTTTTTTAAAGTGCTTTTATTGGGGGCTCTTACATCTCTTAATCACAATCCATACATTTCTCCAGTGTGTCAAGCACATTTGCACATAGGCTGCCATCATCATTTTCAAAGCCTTCTCTTCCCACTTGAGCCCCTGATATCAGCTCCCCATTTCTTCCCCCTCCTTTTCTCGCCTACACTCCCTCATGAGCCCTGGATAAGTTATAGATTATTATACCCATATCTTACATTGTCCTCTGTTGCCTCCTCACCCACGTTTCCATTATCTGTCCGTCCCCCTGGGAGGGGGTTCTAGATTGATCCTTGTGATCGATACCCCCTTCCCCCCCCCAACCATCCCTTAATCCTACTGGTATTTCTACTCTCATTGTTGACCCTTCCCTATGCCCTTCAGACAAGTAAAATCTTTGATATATTAGCCCATACTCTCGTCTAAAGTGTAGCTATGTGCGTTTGCATCCCTAACATTCTAGTGCCCGCCGGTGGGGAAGAACACTGAAGCTGGTAGAGTATGCTACAGTAGGACGAATGGAGAGGTAATAGATGGCTGCTCAGAAGAAAGGGCACTTGAGCTAAAGGTTTCTTTGAAGGGTTAATGTTGTCATCAACACTGATCCTGTAGGATTCCTAGATTAATTTGGAGCCATATTTTTGAATGGGTGAAGTTTTATTTTTTTGTTTTGTTTGTTTTTAGGGAAAATGTTTTGTGTGGCATTGCTGCAAGTGGTTAATTTACCGTAAATCATACAGTCTATAGAAAATTTCATTCCTCTTATTCCATTAGGAAGTCAGAGAATTTCTGTTGATTAAAGGATTTATTTATGGAGTGAATGTGCCTCTTTTATTTCCCAATGGTAGCAGAGTTGGGGAACATAAGACATGACTCAACAACAGTGTGCCTCTGCTCTTTGTTCCTAGACACATAATTTAAAATACAAGATGTTTTCCGTGGTTGTGTGAGATTGGGCTTGCGCCTCATTTGGAGAGGTGTATTTAGTGCTCGAGTGTATGGCACCTGGGGAAACATGACGGAGGTGCCCAGCTTTTGAAGTTTCAAGACTGTAGACATTATAGAATCATGTGTTTTCTCACACACAGTTGTGCTTCTTTGAGTGAAACCAAGGAGATGCTTAGAATAATTTTGGGAAAATGCCCTAAGCCTGGGAACTGTATTCCAATATTCATGAATGTGCAATAAAATAGGTTGAAGTACAGTACAGACTTGACAAGTGTGTTTGTCTCATTTGATTCCTTTGACCCCATTTAGAGCTGAGGTTTCCAAAATGAGAGTCTTTGTTGGCTTAAAATCATTTTGTCGTGAGGTTACTAAGCGCCCAAGATATCAAACGATTCATCCTGTGATGTCCTTATGCCCCTGGGAATCTGCTGTGTCTGATGGCTGTAGAAGGCCTTTTCTCCTAGGTGATTCACAGCCCACTGTCAGCAAGTCGATGCTGACTCCTGGTGATCCTGTGGGATGAGCTAGAACTGGTCCTGTTAGATTCTGAGGTTGTAACTCTTTATCGCAGTAGAAAGAGCACCCTCATCTCCTTCAGAGGGGCTGGTGGCTTCGAACTTCGGGATAGCACCATGATACTGCGGCTTCCATTAGGTGGTTGGATGAGGTAGATGGGTGGTACTCCATTTTCATTTAAAATTTTGAAAAACAAGGTCCTTTTTAAAAATCATTAAAGGATTTTGTCCCTCATAGGACTATCAGAAAAAGTGATGGGTAAGTGTGCAAAAAGAATTAGCATTGAACACACCCTTCTTTTCATTCCCCAGATAAAGCCACTGTGAACCAATTCTTTGCACGACTCTCTTGCAGTCCCTTCTTTTTTTTTTTTTTTTTTTCTTTTTTGCAGTCCCTTCTTAATGTTCATAGGTCAGACACTTTTCCCTCTGGAACCGTGGTGGCAAGGTACCCATCTTTTCTGCAATCTCACTTTCCTGTTGAACAGCATCGCCTAGATCATTGTCTGTCACACCATCAAAATCAGTTCAACAGCATCTTGCTTTGCTGATAATTCATAACTTATTTATCTAATTTCCTTATTTACATTTAGATATATTTCTAACTGTCAGTCCGGGTAGACTTTAGAAACAAATCCAGAGTAACTCATATGTCTGTAAGAGAGTTTTATGTAAAGGGTAATTGTACATTAAGAAAGCATGCCAGTCCAGTCCAAGCCCTTAAGTCCGATATTAGCACATATGTCCAATACCGATCTGTAAAGTCCTCTTCAGACTCACAAAACACATGCAGTGACACCGAATGCAGGATGATCACAGGCCAGTGGGTAGAAAGTCTTTGGATCCAGTGTGTTGTAAGCATCTCTGCTGGCAGGGGTCTCCATGTGGCTTCTCCAGCACCCAGGGCTGCATTAGGGTAGGTCCATAGGGCTTCCCCTCAGGGATGTCTCATAGGAAGTGAGCCTTGTCTGTAGAGAGTCTCCAAGGAAGTCAGCAGAGGGGGGTTCCTGCCTCCAAGGAGGAAATACTGGATTTCCTAGAATTCTCAGGAGAAGGCCATGCCAACACAGAGGCCTCCTTGCCTATGACATGATTGACAGACTAGAGTCCACCCCCTTACCTTTAATCCTCTTAAGTCCCAAATTGACACCAGGTTATGTAACTTTTATATGAACTTTTAGATATCAGCTGCAGATGAATGCTGATCCTTTGTTCATATGCTGTTCCTTAACTAAACTTCTCAGCCAAAGCTGACAGTTGGGAATCAGAGCGCCATTCTTGGACCTGCATTCTAATTCCCTCTCAGGGTTTGTTTGTTTGTTTTTGTGTTTCTGGATTCCAAATCTGATAAAGGTTGTCATATCCCCTAGCCGAATGGCCAGCCTAAAGAGTAATCGCTCCATTAGCCTTGGGTGTCTGCAGCCACTGGGCAGGAGAGCTACCTATAACAAGCTCATTATTTACCAGAACAGAACTTGGGCTGCAGACTAAAAGAGGAATCCAATCAAAGATGTGGAAGTGGTATTTGTTGCCAGAGTTCACAGGTCGGCCTTCTCTCTGGCTGCCCATTACTGCCTTCAATGGTCACAGCTCCAATTTGGAATTGGAGAGCAGATACATTTCAAGGCTGAGGGGAGGGTTCTGCAAGCCGTGATGTTCATTATCCATTAAGGCGAGCGGGGAGCCATGCCTTCTCTCTGCCACCACTGGGCAGGTACCTTCCAGGAAAACCCTGGAAAGCAACTCTGGGTGTTAGCGGATACATGTAAACATGTCAAGCGGTTTCTTAGAATTAGAAAGCTTTAGAGATTTTGCCCTCTGCTGTACGGCTCCTGGAGACCTTTCAGCTATATTTGACAAGGCACTGCTCCTTTCCTGCCACGATGTATGGCCTGAGATTTCTGAAGGGAAGGAGGTAGGCTCGGATGGTTTGCCTGTGTGTATTTATCTTTAAATAGCTTCTGAGGGTCTCTCCCCACCTTCCCCACCTTGTGCCAGAGGCATAATTAGCATCTTTTACCGGGTTCCAGCAGGGTGGAGGACATGTGTGAGTGGAAGTGCAGTGATTTGTCCCGTATCTTATTTCCAGTAACGCAGCAGAGCAGTGGCAGGTTCAATGATTCTCTTATTTACATCTTTCCCTTTATGGGGGCATTGCAAACGAGGGAGTTTCCCAAAGGGGATTCCTGCACCTTGAGCACCTACACACGGTGGGTTCTTCTGACTGTCTGTGTCAGTTAAGCAGGGCATAGAGGAGCCTCTTCTTGTCTGTGTGGGGCTGCCTTTTCCCTTCTGGTGCTTCCTAGGGCCTTCCTGGTCAGCTGCCATTCCCTTGGAATTGGGCGTGCTTGTGAAGTGCTGGGTGTGGAGGTGGGGAAGGAAAAGGGCTTCTCCCCAGGCAGCCTGCCATGCCTGGGTGGAAAGAAGTGACATTTGAGCTGAGGCTTGTAGGGTATGTTAGGAACTTTTAAGTTAAGAAAGGGGCGGACCTGGGACAGATTTGCAGAAGCCCCTGCCAACACTTGGAAGGGTCATGGATTGGTGCTGCTGGCTGAGGGGGAGCCTGGGGTTAAAACGAGGGCTTCTCCCCCCGCTCCCCCTTCTTTTGTTTTTTAACGTCATCTGTGACTGACACTTGCTGACTCCATTCATATGAGTGAGAGGAGGACTGTACTCTAGGAGCTGATTTTTTTGAACTTTATCACCAGGTCTTTATTTTGAGGTACCTCTGGGTGGATGTGAACCTATAGCTTTTGGGTTAGCAGCTGTGAATCAACCATTTTCACCATCTGAGGACACCTGAAGGACTGAGTTAGGAGCCCTGGGCTTACATAATAGAGAACCAATTAAGTTCTGTATTGGGAGATGAATGTGGTTTTAATATAGCTTGGAGGAATTTAGAAATAGCATTGGTCGCGGGGGCAGTCTGTAGAATGGCTTGAGGATATAGGCTAGTTTCCCCAGTTTTCGGAGGACAAAGCCCAGGTTCAAGTCTGGCAGATCTTGGACTGCTGTTGTTAGACGCTGTTGAGTTGGCTCAAA